AGCTTACATAACTTAGATACTTCCTCTTCAGCCTTTGTCAGCAATAATATTTGATATTTCCTACTTTATACTAGTCCCACAGTGTTTCTAGGATTTATTTACAGCAAACCAAGTTACTGCCCTTTACACAGTAGCAGGCACAGCATCTCACACTCATCTCCAGTTGCCCTCAGCAATAGCCACTTCCATAATTTCATTTAGCACCTCCTCTGCTCTAGAATCACACTGATTTTTATTCCAAGTTTAGCCTATCACTGGATGGCTGAGTTAGTAAAATGATTCTGATCATGAAATCACAACTAGAGTCAGTTCACAACTTTCCTTCACTTTTAGGGAAAAAAAAGTTAGAATAGTTCGTGGTATGAAGATCCTTTTCATTATCTCCCCCAGCAACATTAAATGGAAGAATAGCTTTAAAATAAAAATATTCACAAAATTTAGGACTGTTTCTCAAACACTATATTATTCAATGAGGAAACACTTGAAACTCTTTATTTTTAGCATTCATAGTTCTATATATCTGCAGGGATTTACACTGTTCAATAAATAGATCTAACAAATTTGGTTACCAGATGTTGATATATTATCTTCATTTGAGCACAGACAGCTACATTCAATGTTCCTCAAACAGTAAATATTTTTATTTTACATTATACATCTGAAAAACAGACCTGTTATTTCAGTGTTGGCATTTTAAAATACTAAAACACTGACACCCGGATACAACTCAGAACTCAAATTCCTGACTTTTCATTCTTTTTGGGAAAAAAAGTCACCATTGAGTTAACACTCTTACACAAGTTTTATTTCATATTTATATTTTAAAACAGTAATACATATGTTCATGTTTCAATTTTGTGGAAAATGGGAGATCACAAAACTAAAACAAAACACAGTGAACATTAATAATATCTGCCTTTGGCCTAGATCCTGAACTGGCTTTGTCCAACATTTATTTTATGCTACAGAATCTTTGGCACTTTACTACCTACATATTCTCAAGAAAAAGTTATTCTTCAAAAAAAGAAACCAGTTCATTCCAGACATGGCAGGAAAGCAGCTGGAGGTTGTGAACACACTGCAGCAGTGATTCACATCAGCTCATCTTACTTCTAACATACAAGACAGCAAGTTCTAGCTCACAACTTCTGCAGCAGTTTTATTTTTCTCCAGACAGTGACAGACATTCAACCATTAGGACCCCAACCATGCATAGACTGAAATATGAATAAT